AGCACGTTTTTGAATTAAGTGGCTTAGAAATACAATCGACAGGTAGACAATATCTCTGTTTTGAGAATCATTTAAAAAAAAATTCAAGACTGTGTCACAACAAATATTTTATTCTCAATATCTTTGTTATAATTACACTTGCTTTTTTTTTTAATAACATAGATCCTCAAACTCCAAAAGATAGTTCACAGTGAAAAAAGAAGAAGAAGAAGAAGAAGAAACAGAGCACGGTTTCAACGCAAAAGAGATATTTACATCAGCTTTAGAAGCAAATCTTGGCCATTAGGTTTCTACCGCCTGACAAATGAAAAAAAAAGAAGAGATGCTTAACTCATTCATTTAGCAAATACATTCATTTTGTTGTACAATCAAGAGAAAACAAACGTAACAAAATAATTTTGTGCAGAAGAGCAACTGGGAACTTTTCCCACAACCACAAAATGTTGTAAAACTGGGATTCAAAAATATCAGTCCATAGGATCTCAAGTCAGTTACTCCAAAGTAAATCCACTTCCCCGGTGGGCTCGCTCTTAAAGCAATTTGGCACAGGTTTATTAATTACAGGTAGCACTCGACCTGCAACAGTTGATTTAGTGACCGTTCAAAATTACAACGGCACTGAAAAAAGTGACATGATCATTTTTCACACTTACCAACCATTGAAGCACCACCATGGACACTTACATGAACAAAATTTGGATGCTTGGCAATTGACTCATATTTATGATGGTTGCAACTTCCCAGGGGCATGTGATCCACTTTTGCAACCTTCTGACAAGCAAAGCCAATGGGGAAGCCAGATTCACTTAATGACCATATAACTCTCTTAACAACTGAAGCAATTCATTTAACAAATGTGGCAAGAAAGTTTATAAAATAGGGCAAAAGTCACTTAACAAATATCTTGCTTAACTGAGTCCATAAAATTGTATAAAATTACAAACTTGGGTCATCTTTGCCTGATGGTCCAGCTCTGTTGGGCATTTGAATGACAGAATATCAGAGTTGGAAGTTGGTGGGTTTCTAATGCAATCCCCTGCTCAAGCGTCATAAATTTTGGGCTCAATGGTAGTCGTAAGACGAGGAGTATGTAACCCTGTGACAATTGTCTACTGCTAGTAAGACCTTGGGAAGCTAATGGAATTTACTTGTGAGTCTACACCGTTTACTCTCAAGCAAGAGATGTAGATTTAAATTTGCTCTAAATCAAGATTTCTCTTTTAAGAGATCTCAGGAAGAACTTTTAGGAAACAGATATGCAATATGTAAATCCTTCCATCCATTCACTTTTTATTTTCCAATACAGATATAGTTCTTGACTTACGATCGCAACTGAGCCCAATATTTCCAAAGATAAGTAAGACAGCTAATTTGCCCCATTTTACAATCTTTCTTTGCCATGATGGTTAAGTGAACTACTGCAATTGTTAACTTAGTCACAGGGCGGTTAGCCGAATCCATTGACTTGGCTTATGAGAAGGTCGCAAAAGAGGATCACATGATCCCAGGACGTGGCAACCGTCATCACACGACCGGGGTGGTGGTGGGGAATTGTAGTGGTCACAAGCGTGAAACATGGTCCTAAGTCACTTTTTCAGTGCTGTGGTAACATTGAACAATCACTAAACAAATGGTTGTAAGTTGAGGTCTGCCTGTATTCATTGGATTTGTCCGTTTCCCCTTAATTTGTAACAAGTGTTTTAAAAGTATGATGTCTGTATTTCTTGCTACAATTTTAGGCAATTTAACTGAGGATCGTACCACAAAATTAGAAAGGACTTGGTTTCAATCTTTCCCAGAAATGGTCCTCCGTTTCTTGCTGTCCCACCACAGAAATTAAAATTAATTATTTTAATTTCAGGACCGTGGGGCCCTTGATGATCTCTGAAGGTTTTCTTTAAGACCTTTCATTCCCCAACTAGGTAAGATGGTTAGTGCTCTTTGTTTAACTATAGAAGTGGCTTGCCCTCTCAGTGTTAGTGATTTTCTCCTTAATAATCCTTTGATCAAAGTATTGTTTTCTGCTTGATCGTTTGTCTAGTGTTAATCTGGCTTTCTCTTTCTGGGGGTCCTTGGTGCTCTCTAAAAGAAAGGAAGGGAGGGTGGAAAAATTAGGGGAAGGGAGGAACGAAGGGAGGGGAGGGGAAGGAAAGCAGGAAGGGGAGAAGGGAGGAAGGGAGGGAAGAGGAGGGGGAGGAAAGATGGAAAGAAAGACAGAAGAGAAAGAAAAGAAAAGAAAAAAGAAAGAGGGGGAGGAGATGGAAAGGAAGGAATAGGGGAGGGGAGAAAGAGGAAGGAATGAAGGAAGGGAGGAAAGAAAGAGAGGTAAAGAAAGAGAGAGAGGGAGGAGAAGAAAGGAAGGGAAAAGGGAGGAGATGAGAGAGGAAGGAAGCAAAAGAAGGAAGGAAGAAAAGGGAAGGAAGGAAGGAAGAGAAGGAGGAAGGGATGGATGGATGGAGGAAGGAAGGAAGGAAGGAAGGAAGAAAGGAGATGCGCAACAGAGGAAGGAATGCAAATTATCAAGGCATTGGTACTGACAGTTTTGCCAAGGATAGCTCAGGACAATTTGGACCCAAACCTGTTCAGCATTCAAATCCTCTTTTACTACGGGTTCTACACCAAATATACAAGTGACTTTGAGTGCAAGCCAAACTAAAAACCTCATATGTAGCTTATATAAGAAGAGATAAACTGCTTCCAAGATAAACCTTGACGTTTACCCTGGAGAACCAAAGAATTACGTGACAATGGTTATATGCCATTTTATCCTGTCCTTCTTTACACAGGTAGTCCTTGACTCACAACAGTTCATTTAGTGACAGTTCGAAGTTACAACAGCCCTGAAAAAAATTGACTTACGACCGTTTTTCAAAGTTATGACCATTGCAGCATCCCCATGGTCACCTGACCAAAATTCGGACACTTGGCAACTGTCTTGCATTTATGACGGCTGCAGCATCCCAAGGTCATGCAATCCCCTTTTGCAACCTTCTGACAAACAAAGTCAGTGGGGAAGCCAGGTTCACTTAACAACCCGGTTACTAGCTTATCAGCTGCAGTGGCTCACTTAACAACTATGGCAAGAAAGGTCGTAAAATGGGGCAAAACTCACTTTAAAAATTTTTTTCACTTGGCCACAGAAATGTTGGGCTCAATTGTTGTCATAAGCCAAAGACTACTTGTAGTAGAAAGCACCCCAAAACTGCAGGGTGGAAGGAACAGGTGCCAAAACACTATTCAATGTATAAGAAGCATCTTAAACATCTCCCCTTTTCCGTTCCCAAAACCTTTTATTAAACAGAATTTCTTCCATTTCTCAGCTGCGATGAGCGTTTATTCCTTACCATTTTAACAAAATAGGATGTCTCCTCTTTAAGGTATGCACACACACACGCAAACACACACATATGGAGTCACACCGATTAAGAGGATCATGAAACGTGGAGGAGAGTCTCACACAGCCCACGAGACACCACAAAAGTCCTCTGGAGATGTCGCGCATCGCGCAGAGTCTCGCGGGGGAAAAAATAACAGACCTTGTTGGTAGAGTTTGGCTGAAGCAGCTGCCCATCAGAAGGGGCTCTGAGTCGAAAGTGAGGGTTAGAAGAGCCCCTTCTTCCTCCCAAGCCTTAACAAAATTGAGCATTTTTCCTGCCCTCTTTTTTAAAAACTAGTAATAATAATGGCTAATCGTAACCCCAGCTCTGCAAAATAGGGGGAAGGGAGGGACAGAGGGAGGAAGGATAGGGGGAGAGAAGGAAAAAGGGAGGGGGAGGAAGGAAGAGGAAAAGAAAGAAAAAAGAAGTGAAAAAAGAAAGGGAGGAAGGAAGGAAGGGGAGAAAGGAAGAGAAGGAGGGAAGGGGAGAGACAGGAAGAAAGGAAAAGAGAAAAACAAAAGGGAAAGAGAAAAAGAATAGGAAGAGAGAGAGAGGAAAGAAGGAAGAGAGGAAGGAAGGAAAAAAGGAAACAAAAAAAGGAAGGAAGGAGGAAGAAAGGGGAGGGGGCGTTCTTAAGACCCCCCAAATGAATCTCCTCCTCCGATTACATAACCCACCTGCCCTTTTGGGGTGAACCTTGCCTTGATAACACTCCCCCCCCACCTTTTAATAGCCAACCCAAATCCTCCCTTCGAAGTTCCTTCCCTCACCCTATTTTCTGTGAGTGGTTAGCCATGAAAGGGGTCGCCTGGGAAGTTTGGAATTAATCAGCACTTAATGTGGGGAAATGCATATATCTATATCCATATTAGTTCTATCTAAAAATAACAAAACAAGGAAAGAAAGAAAAAATAATCTGTCTCAAAAAATATAACTCTATGGTACCGAGATGGCCATTTTAGAAGATTCACAGCTTAACAAAACAAAAAAAACAACAAAAGAAATTCAGATCATTTCCCGAAAGAGGGAAAATCTGAGGCCCTCCACTTGTAGGGTTGGGGGTTTTCCATTTGAGGAAGGAGGTGGTTAAGGGATGACACGGTCTCTCAACCAATTCTGGTAGAGTTCATCTCTGTGACTGCAATGGCCACCACCATTGGGGGGGAAATGGGGGGGGGTCACCCCTGGCTCAGTGTTTGCATGACGTTCTCGGTCCCAAAAGAGGATACCGATGGTCCAAGATGTTGGGATCAGAAGCATTTGGACATGAGACACGGGCAACGCAACCTCATGAGATGTTAACTCATGGCCCTCATCTTGGAGATCCCCAAAAAAGTTATCAATGGTACTAGGGAAACGAGGAATGAAACAATGGGAGGGTTTCAGTTCTTGGGTATATCGAGGTGCTTGTGGTATGGAGGGCCTCGTTCCCCTAGACGGAACATCTTTGTGGAGCTTCTCTTCCACCCATCAGAGATGACAAGCTTCAGAACCCCAGAAACTTCCCATCAAAGGGAGGTGGATTTGTTTGTTTGTTTGTTTGTTTTTAGAAAAAGGCAGACGGAAGTAACACCCCGAAAGCCATCATATTTAGGACTAAATATGGTCCTTTCGTGGTGTCCGAAGTAGGGTTCGTCATTCTTTCTCTCTTTGGGAGGGCGTGGTGGGACAAGGTGCGGGGTCTTACAGGCTCATGTGGCCAAATTCTCGGCATTGACGCTGGACATCCGAATCTGAGAGCTGCTCTTGCTCAAGATGGACAGTTGAGTCCCCCCGTTGACACCGCTGCTTGCCAGGGAGGGATGGCGGTGTTTGAAATCCACAGCAAAATAACGGTTGACTTTCCAGCTCCGCCATTTTCTCTTGATTTCGGATTGCACCTTGAGGGAGAAACTTTAAGAGGTCATTTTTTAAAATGTACTCGGACGTCGGGGGGGAACAGGCTGCTCATACACACATTCAAAAGACAAGAAGAACAAGATGTCGGATTGTTGAGCTGGAGGTGTGCGCAAGGATCTAAGGGTAGAGGGGGCAGCTCTGTCAGAGCTCCTCAGGCTGGCCGAATCCCCACCCTCAAACTGGAGTGAACTGGGAAAGTAAGGGTTAATCTGTTGAAGAGAATATTTACAGTTCAGGGTTTAGCTGTTGGATTCTTGGTGCTCCCTGAATTTGGTGGTTTCCTTGGAGACATTTCATGACTCCACTAAGCAATATCATCAGTGCTAGAAGGGACTTGGATTTGGGAGGAGGAGGAGGAGTTGGCCTGTGTAGTCCTTGATGCTCTCTGAGCTTGGTTGTTTTCTTACAGACATTTCATGACCCAACTAGGTAACAACATCAGTGCTAGAAGGGACTTGGATTTGAGAGGAGGAGGAGGTCATCTGTGAGGCCCTTGATGCTAGCTTGGTTATTTTCTTACAGACATTTCATGACCCAACTAGGTAACATCACCAGTGCTCCTGTAAAAGCTAGAACTCCACTTCCTTCTATGACTGACCTAATACCTAACTGGGTCATGAAATGCCTGCAAGGAAACCACCCAGCTTGGAGAGCACCAAGGAACCAACAAGGAAGATTCGAAAATCTCCATGATGCACACGCACCAGGATCTACAAGAGTGTGGGCCAACCTTTGGTAGATGGAGGGCACAATTAAAGCGCCAACGCCTGCCCCATGGGTGCATCTGTACGAAGAATGGGGATGCCAGTGGAGGCCATTGAATGGCTTACCTCCTGCTGCATCCTTGACTCCATCAAGCCTACCACCCCAGATCCTTCGCAAACCTGAAATGATCTCCAAACCGTCCCTTCACCTGATCACCATGGCTCTGAAGTCTCTAGCAAGGATGAGGACCGAGTGAGGTTACAGGTAGTCCTCTACTTACAACATTGGTTTGGTGACCATTTGAACTTACAATGACCGAGGACGGTTTTTCACACTTACAACCGTTGCAGCATCCCCATGGTCATGTGATCAACATTCAGACGCCAGGCAGTTGACTCATATTTATAACGTTTGTGGTCATATGATCCCCTTTTACAACCTGATGCTCTAAGTCAATGGGGAAGCCAGATTGTCCCGGTTGTTAAATGAATCACTGCAGGGAGTAACATGGTTGTTAAGTGAACCTGGCTTCCCCATTGATTTTTCTTGTCAGAAGGTCACAAAAGGGGGTCACTTGACCCCAGGGACACTGCAACCATCATAAATAGGAGTCAGTTGCCAAGTGCCTGAATTTTGATCACATGATCATGGGGAAATTACAATGGTCGTAAGTGTGAAAAATGGTCATAAGTCACCTTTTTCAATGCCCTTGTAAATTTGAATGTCCACTAAATGACCTGCCGTGATTTGAGGACTAACCGTACTGACATTAGGAGAAATGTTAGCTTGAAATGGATTTTGTCTGTTATAGGTTTTTTTTAAAAAAAGCCTGGCCCTTTAAGAGGTGGTGGACTTCAACTCCCAGAATTCCCCAGCTACCATGCATCTCATTCCACACCCAGCTGGGGGTGGGTGGGTTCTTGCACAGGGCATGAATTCCCCCGCCACTCCTTTTTCCCTTGCGACAGGTAGTCCTCGACTTGCGACCACAATCAGGAGCAGAATTTCAAGGCAAAGATTCTGTTCAGTGAGTCACGACCAATTTTATGACCTTTTTTTTGCTATGGTTCAGGGGATCTTTGCAGTTGTTAAGTCAATCATGGGGTCATTAAGCGAATCCTGCTTCCCCATTGACTTTGTTGGAAGCCAGCTCGGAAAGTCGCAAATGGTGATCACGTGACACTGCAACTGTTGTAAGTACATGCCAGTTGCCAAGCCTCCAAATTTTGATCACATGATTGTGGGGATGTCCTCAACGCATGACCGCAATTGGGACAAAAGCTCCTCTTGATAAGTAAGGTGGTTGTTAAATGAATCATACCTGAATTTACAACCTTTCTGCCACAGTTGTTAAGCAAATCACTGTACTATTAAGTGAATCATGTGGTCACTAAGGGAATCCAGCTTCCCCCATTGGCAGTGCTTGTTGAAGAGTAGCAAATGGTGAGTAAATGGAATTATGAAAGTGTCCGAATTTTGATCTCATGACCATGGGAAATGCTGCAATGGTCATAAGTGTGAGGACTGGCCATAAGCCCCTCTTTTCAGCACCGTTGTCATTTCAAACAGTTGCTAAATGTAAGTCGAGGACTACCTGAAGTTGCAAAGCTAAAATTCCAAAGCACCAACAACATTTTTAAAATATATAATATATATATATATATCTTACCTCCCCATTCAAAAAGCAGTAGAGCACAGCAACCACAAAACCCTGAAATAGAAACAAAACAAATCGTTTTCGGGGATAGCGAAAACTGACAGCTATTTTCGTTGACGTGAACTCTACACTTAACAGAGATGTGTGGCAGGAAATATTCTCAACTGCATTTTCAAGCAACCCTGACCCGTCTTCTGTTCCTGCAGACACTAGGATAGGAGAATAACAGAATAACGGAAGGGGCCTTGGAGGTGTTCTAGTCCAACCCCGTATTCAAGCCCGTATACCAGGGCTGTCAAACTCGTGGCCCGCGGGGCGGATGCATCATGCACTGGCCACGCCTACCCATTTTAGCGAAGGGGGGGGAAAGTTGCAATATGTCATGTGATGACAGGGTGTTGTTGCGAGTTTGACACCCCTGCTCTGGCCCACTTCAGACAAATGGTTGTCCAATCTCTTCAGCCAATGGTTTTTCTCACTTAAAGAAATATTATTGGTTGAGGAAGGGGCCTGGATGGGCTGGGGGGATATAGATTTATAATGTAGACATGCAAAGGGACCAAGTTTTTATTAAAAACTTGGGGGAATACATCAGTGAGCAACCAGGAGACTGTGAAATGTTTTCTAGGATATGGGTATTGAAAACTACCAGGAGAATCTACTGAGATTCGCTGCCTCTTAGACCAATGTTTCTTGACCTTGGCAGCTTTAAGAGGGTTGTAATTTGACTCCCAGAATTCCCCAGCCAGCATGTCAACTAGGGGACCCTGGGTATTGAAGTCCACACATCTTTAAGTTGCTGAGGTTGAAAAACACCGGTTGACACAACCATCTGAAGCATTAATAACACCCCCACCATTCTTCCATGGGACGCTTGAAGGGAAAGAGAGAAAGAGAAAGCTATTGAGAACTACATAACCCACCTGGAAGGAGCCGAGTCCCAGTTCAAAAACCAAGCGCTCCCTTTTGCTGACGTTCTCTGGATAAAAGGCAAACACTGTGTAGTGAATCCCAAAGAGTGGGATGAGTAACAAAGTGGACCGGGCCAACCGCCTGTGGAGATAAACCAAACAACAAAAGTTACATGTCCTCATTTAGTCCAGGAGTACTTTTAATCTCCTATATATCACCAAGTGCTGGAAATAATTACCTTGGCTTTCCCATTTGATCTCAAGCACCCTATAATAACTGTGGGCTCCTCGGTGTTTTTTTGCAAACATTTCATGACCGAACTAGGTAACATCATCAGTGCTAAAAACTAGAACCCCACACCCTTCCAGCACTGATGAAATAGCCTAGTTGGGTCATGAAACATCTGCAAGAAAACAGCCACACTCCAAGAGAACCAAGGATACCACAGTTCAACCCTGAGCTACAAGTATCCCATTCCATTAATATCCCATAATGATAATCAACTTTTGGCTCCATCGCTTGTCTTTGCCTAGGACTAACTTTGATTTCACTTATTTTATTTTTATTTGACATTCAATTTATACGCTGCCCACCTTGCCATTCAATTGTGCCCAAAATTTCTGTTGTTAAATGAGATATTTGTTAAGTGACTTTTGCCTCGTTTTTACAACCTTCCTTCTCACAATTGCTCACTGAATCCCTGCAGTTGTTCAGCTAGCAACACAGTTGTTAAGTGAATCTGGCTTCCTCAATGACTTTGCTTGTCAGAAGGTCGCAAAAGGGGATCACGTGACCTTGGGATACGGCAACCGTCATGAATATGAACCAGTTGCTATTTTGTTCACATGACTGTGAGGATTCTGCAATCACTTCTTTCACTGCCATTGTAACTCTGAAGAGTCACTAAATTATTTGAAGCCTATAGTCCTCATCTTATGACCATACTGGAGCCCAGAATTACAGTCATGCTGGTCATTATACTGTACATGCACCACCAGCCAATTTTTTACGGTCGTTTTTGCAGCTCTTGTTAAGCAAAAACACGTTAAATGAACATGGTGTTCATTAAGTAAATCCATTGCCCACAATGGGGGGGGGGGTGCCAAAAAACATTTCTTGGCAAAAAAATATATATTGTAAATTCTGGTCAGGTGTCCATGGGACACTGTAAATGGTCATAAATGCAGAATTGTGCCCAAAACGTGATCACATGACCACAAGGGGAGGTGGCCATTGGAATTTTGAATCCCTAGCGGAAGGAATCCTGGGAAGTCCATCATAACTATGAATGGTCGCTAAGTGAATGGTCGCAGGTCAAGATTACCTGTATGTCCACATTCAGGAAAAGTAGAAATCAGACCTCACTTATTTTATGAGGAAAAATGAGCGTGGCTGTGTGGAAACGTGTAGATCTATCACTAAAAGATCACAACCAAAGGACCCTGTTGTGAAACTGGTATTGGTACAGTGACTTCAGGATACTGCAGGTGTAGGTTGGGGAAAGAGAAAGACACAACTGGACAAAAAGAGCAGTAATCTCTAGTACGGGGAGTCCTCGACTTACGACCACAACGGCGCCCAAAATTTCCATTGCTAAGCTGTTAAAAGTGAATTTTGCTTCATTTTACTAGCTTTCTTGCCACATTGGTCAAGGGGATCAATGCAGTTCTTAAGTGAGTAATCTGGTTGTTAAGTGAATACGGCTTCCCCATTGACTTCGCTTGTCAGAAAGTCGCAAAAGGGGATCACGTGACCCCAGGACACTGCCAAGCACCCGAAGTTTGATCGCATGGGGATGCTGCAACGGTTGCAAGTGTGAAAAACAGTCCTAAATCACTTTTTTTTCAATGCCGTTGTAACTTGGAACGGTTGCTAAATGGATGGTTGTAAGTCGAGGACTATCTGTATTTTAATTCCATGGATTGATACATTTCGATGCAGGACGTTCGTCTCCGACACGGTCAGCAACAAAAAGCACACAACGAAACAGACAGCATGCAGCGCCCCGATGTTATGTCAGCTGGCGCTTACAAAAACCGCACTCGACGTTTTAAGCGGCATGCGTCAAAAACACAGACATCGTTCACGGGATTCCGCACACTTACAGGGTGATGATGGATAGTTCAGCCATCCTGCAAGAATGCTGGTTAGTCCTCTCGGACTTACAGTAGCATTTCTGAACGCAGCTGCTGAGTGTGGGACGAGGTCAGCCAAAAAAAGGAAAAAAAACACAAAACAAAACACAAAATAAACAAAAAAAATTGCTTTTTCCCCTCCCCCCCCTCTCCAGGTTCATCAGATCAAGGACAAGAAATCCATCGAATTTAAATATGGGATACCGAACCGCCACATCCTCCTCAAAAACCGATTGATTAATGAATCAATAAAGCTGATCAGCAGAATAGCCCGGAATTGAAAGCGATGCAGAAGGTGTGAGAAAAGCAAGGCAAGTAATGTTGTGTGGAGCCTACAACACAGGCACAATGTCAAGCGGATGGAACAGACAAGGATGGGAGGTGATAAAAGTATCCAGATCTTAAACAACAGGGGTGGGGGGGTGGGGAAATAGGAAGAAAAGTTATTCATTTATGGGATGCTGAAGTTTCAACTGTAACAGGTAGTCCTCGACTTACAACCATTCGTTTAGTGACCGTTCAAAATAACAACGGCAGTGGAAAAAAGTGACTTATGATAACTTTTCACAGTTACAACCTTTGCAGCATCGCCATGATCATTGTGATCGAAATTCAGATGCTTGGCAACCGGTTCATACTTATGACGGTTGCTGTGTCCCGAGGACACCTGATCCCCTTTTGCAACCTTCTGGCAAGCAAAGTCAATGGGGAAGCCGGATTCACTAAACAACCAGGGATACTAGCTTTTCGACTTGAGTGATTCGCTTAACAACTGTGGCAATAAATGTCGTAAAATGGGACAAAACTCACATAACAAATTCTCACTTAATAAAATGTCGGGCTCAGTTGTGGTCGTAAGTCAAGAACTACCTGTATTTATGACGGTTGCAGTTTTCCAGGGCCACATGATTGATCCCCCCTTTTTCAACCTTCTGACAAGCAATGTCAACATGGAAGCGAGATTCACTTAACAACCATGCAATGATTCATTTTACAAACTGTGGCAAGAAAAGGAAAAAAAATGGGGCAAAATTCACTTAGCCAATGTTTCTCTTAGCAACAGAAATTTTTTGGCTCAGTTGTGGTCATAAGTCGAGGACTACCTTCATTGCTGTTAAACATTGAAAGGAGGTCGTGGACGCAAATATAGGAATATTCCCAAATGTTCACGAAAACTCTGCGCGAGATTTAGGTTCAAGCAGCTCCAATGATGTCGGCCTTGCAATGTAGGCCAGACTGGAAGAACAACTAGATGAGGTAATTGTATTTTACAACTAGTCCTCGACGTTTGACCATTCTTTTAGCAACCATTCATAGTTACAATGACCCTGACTTAAGACCATAGTTCACACTTACATCAAAATCAAAATTCAAATACTTGGCTTCTGGTTCATATTTAGAGTATTTTGAAATTCCCCAGCTATGCTGGCTGGAAAATTCTGGGGGTAACTTGAAGCCCAGACGTCTTAAATTTGCCAAATTTAATTGGTGGGTAGGATGATGGCACAAAGTGGACACAAGATGCCAAGAAAATAATATTTTATTTTTATTTTTGCTGCTCAGGGAAATTTCAGTGTTTTAGCCTTGTTTTGGAGATGCATTGGGCTTTTCTGAAGGTTAAAACAAGATTGGATGGGTTTTTTTTTTGCCAAAGAATACCCAAATAATTCTATACTCTATATTCTGTAACTGTACTACTGAAATTTGATGAATTTGGCAACTGTAAAATGGCTCAGGGATATTTATTGCCCCTCCCCGTCTTAAATTTCCAGGTGTGGTGGAGATGCTGGGGCAAAACTGGGGATATCAATTTCAAATCAAAATTAACTTAACATTTAGGTGTGAGCCAGCAATGAGCTGCAGCTGCCAAAAAAGCCAATGTAGTCCTAGGTTATATCAACAGAAGGACAGCATAAGATCTTGAGAACTGATAGTACCACTTGATACTGGTAAGGCCGCACTTGGAATATTGCATCCAGTTTTGCTCACCGTGATATAAAAAAGATGTTGAGACTCTGGAAAGAGTAGAGCAACAAAGGGGACTGGAGGCTAAAACATATAAAGAAGAGTTGCAGGAATGGGGTCTGTCTAGCTTAATGAAAAGAAGGACTAGGGGCGACATTATAGCAATATTTGGGAGGCTGCCACAAAAAGAGGGGGTCAAGCTATTCTCCAAAGCACCAGAAGGCAGGACAAGAAGCAACGGGTGGAAACTGAACAAAGAGAGAAGAATGAAGAAGAAACTTCCTGACAATGAAAACAATTAATCAGCGAAACAGTTTGTCTCAGAACTTGTGGGTTCTCCAACACTGGAGGTTTTCAAGAAGAGACTGTACCACCATTTTCCTGGAATGGTATTGGGCCTCCTGCATGAGCAGGGTGTTGGATTCAGTGGTGAAATGCTACTGGTTCGGCCAATTTCGCCCAATTCAGCTGATTGGCATAGCAGAGCCTCAACTGGTGTTTGGAAAGCTGCACATGTGCGCGTTAGATGCACATGCATGAAGTGTGTGACCACTGAACCGGTAGGGAAACTGGTAGAATCCCACCACTGGTTGGATTAGAAAACCTCCAAGGTATTTTTTTTGTTATTCTGTTGTTATTCTGTTTTGGGTATTCCATCCCTGCAGCTCTTCAAGGAGAGATTGGAGGATCATTTGTCCAGAGTGGTATGTGGGGGGTTGGAGTAGAAGACCTCTAAGGTTCCTGACGTTTCTGTTAGTCTGTAATTTTGTAAAACATCTTTCATGGACCAGTTTCTCTAGCGACAAGCTTCTGCATTGCTCCAGATGATACCTTTCTACTTTCTTTGCTGCTATTGTTCATGCTTTTATTGCTGATGACAAACCATTAAATCTGACATTTAGAGGAAATAAGGCTCAGCACTTGCAACTCGCCCTAATGGAAATCGTCCATCAAAATATCAGGGACAGAAAAAACAAAGGCCAGCCATGCTTATAAAATATTGAATTAGGAATATATACACCGAACAGGAAGAAAAGAGTCATCAAACAAGTACAGGGAATCCTCGATTTACAACAGTTCAGTTAATAACTGTTTGAAGTTACACCAGCACTGAAAAAAAATGACCTAGGCCTCTATTTCATGCTAATGACTGTTATAGCATCCCCAGGGTCATGTGATCAAAATTCAGAGGCTTGGCAACTGACTCGTATTTATGACGGTTGCAATGTTCCAGGGTCATGTGATTCCCTCTTTGGTGACCTTCTGATAAGCAAAGTCAGTGAGGAAGCCAGGTTCACTTAAAAACCTTGCAACTAATTTAACAACTGCAGGGATTCACTTAACGACTGTGAGGGCAAAATTAACTTAACAAAATTAACTTAGCAATAGAAATTTGGGGTTCAATTGTTAAGTCGAGGGCCATCTGTACTGAAGTAACTGAAATGATACATTCTTATATTATTATGCCACGGTAGCCATTAATTCAGCATTCATAAAATCTCAAAACACTCTTTTTTAAAGTGGCCTGTTGATCTGAGTTGATAGTGTACCGCCTGGTTAGTTTTCACTTCTCTTCTGTTATTCTGAATAGTTCGAGTAATTGAAGGTTCATTTCTGGACCGGTTCTTTGACTTTCTTTTAATTAATTCCCGAGAATGAATTAACTGCAGTAGAATAGCAATTGAGGAAATGGTTCAATCATTTAGGATAAAGTGTTTAGCTGATTGGTATGCATTTTATTCCTAGAATCTCTGAAGGAGGCAGCTGTCTTTACTGGAAAAAAATCCTTCATCTAAAAATGTCTCATTTTGGGGGGGTGTCCTCAAGGAAATAAATGATTTGCAACAAAAATGGCCAGCCTCAAATTATCATATTTTAATCACATTATATGAAAATCTATTTATCTGGAGAAGGTTCTGATGCTGGGATGGAAGTGAACAGAACATCAGAATAACAGAGTTGGAAGGAGCCTTGGAGGTCTTCTAGTCCAACCCCCTGCTCAGGCAGGAAACCCTATATCATTTCAGACAAATGGTTGCCCAATCTCTTCTTAAAAACTTCTAGTGATGGAACACCAACTTCTGGAGGCAAGTAGTTCCACTGATTAATTGTTCTCGCTATTAGGAAATTTCTCCTCAGTTCTAAGTTGGTTCTATCCTTGACGTCCCAAAGGTGCTTCTTCAAGAGGCAACTGAACTTTGTTTTTCCTTGAAGATGTTCCACTTTTCACCCAATAAGCTTCTTCAATTCCCTTCTCTCTAGACATCTCTCCTTGATAAACTTCCACCATTACTTCTTATCCTGTCCTCAGCTGCCGTGGAGAATAGAAGAAGAAGAGGATGACCAGCAGAAAAGTGGATGAGCTTCCATGAGAAGACCCGAAGGACCAGGTTAGAGACAGGTGGTCATGAAGAAAATCTATTGTGTGATGATTAAGAGTTGACATCACCTTGATGCTTCAACTCAACCAACCAGTGAATCACCGTGAAGATCCATCAGAAGTCCCTGATGTTTGGAAGGAGGAAAGGAAGGAGAAGAGGTTGACCAGCATCAAATTGGATGGGGGGACCATTAGAAGACTTGAAGGATCAGGTTGGAGACAGGTGGTCATGCAGAAAACCCCAAGAGTCAACATCAATCTGATGCTTCAATTCAACCAACCAATGAATCAATGCAAAGATTCATCTCACTTGAGAAGTCCATAATGGTTAGAAGGGAAGAAGGAAAGAGAAGAAGAAGATGACCAGCAACAAGGTGGATGGACACAGCAGTGGCCTCTGCACTCTTTTAAGACCTGAAGAACTGTGTTGTGAAGAGATGCTCCTGGAGAACAGCTATGAAGCTGCTGAGAGCCAATATTGACTTGATGGCTCACAAATCAATCAGATAAGAAACCAACTCTCGAAACTATTCTGAAACAGACGTGCAAAGTCATTGATGGGGACCTTCCATCGACAGTTGTGGCCACCAGGATGGAAGAAGAAAAAGAAGCAAGGCCTCATTCTGATATTCGATAAACCACTGGAAAGCTCCTTTCAGATGCATCTGAAGATAGAGGAGCAGTCAAAAAAACCAACATCATGACTTTGAAAATAGATACTTTGGACTCTTACATGAATCATGAATATTGTACAATCTCTTGGTCATCAAGCTCTTCTTACATGACCTCCCCAACTAGCAAACACTGAAGACATCAAGTACAGGTAGTCCTCGACTTACGACCACAATCGAACCGAAATTTCCTGTGGCTATGGGAGGCAATTCTTGAGTTTTGCTCCTTGTTATTATCTTTCTTGCCACAGTTAAGTAAATTACTGAAGTTGTTAAGTTAGTAACACGGTGGTTAATATCACTTCCCCCATTGACTTTGCTTGTCAGAAGGTCACAAAAGGGGAACCACATGACCCCAGGACCCTGCAACCATCATGTTGCCAGGAGTCTGGATTTTAATCACGAGACCACAGGAATACTTTAGCGGTTGTAAGTGTAAAAAATGGCCATGCCACTTTTTTCAGTGCCATTGTCACTTTGAATAGTCACTAAATGAATGGTTATAAGTCGAGGACTACAGGACTCACAAAGGCCACTGTCAACCAAAGAAGGAAAGGAAAACTTGGGGCCAGGGGTTTTAATTCCAAATGCTGCTCTTTCAATAAAAACTGCTTTCCTCACACCTCAAATTCTGTCATTTGATGCAAATTAAAAAGGAAGAATTTTCCTTCCCATAAGCAAGACGTGTAACCAACAATGTAAGGCACGATTGATGCTTGAAATTACTGTTTATTTTATTTATGGACTAAACAAAAATCTGGGTCCTTGGTGCTCTTTCAACTTGATTGTTTTCTTGTAAAAAATTCATGACCCAACCAGGTAATATCATCAGTGCTATAAAGAAATGAGATTTGCTCTCTCCTCTCCCTTCTTAGTACTGATGATGTTATCTAGTTGGGTCATGAAACGTCTGCAATAAAATAATAAACCCCACAATTCTCCTCTTTCTCCTCCTCTTTTCTTAAGAAACCCCACTTCCTTCTAGCACAGATATTATTATCCAGTTGGGTACTGAAATGTCTGCAAAAAAACTACCAAACTCAAAGAGCACCAAGGACCACCTCCTCCTCCTCCTCCTCCTCCTCCTCCTCCTCCTCTCTCCTCCCAAGCCCCATTCCCTTCTAGCATGGATGATGTTCCCTAGTTTGGTTATGTAATGTCAACAAGAATATTACCAAGCTCAGACAGCACCAAAAACCCACCAGTTTAAACCCAAGCTTCAAATATTCTCTTCTAAAGAATACTTGAATCCTTTATTTTTCCTATGGGTATCTCACAGATCAAAATTGTGGTGTTTTGAACATTTCTCAGTATACTTACAAGTAGATGCTGGATTCATTGCCTCCAATGTCTGGAGACTGGAGTTTCTGAACCAAGATAATGATGATCCCCACGAAAAGCAAAAAATTGATCTTTGAAGTGGGGGAAAAAAGAAGAAGAAATGGATCAGTCAATGATGAAGTAATTGCTGCCTTCCAATTAAAACAGCAAATTATTCTCTGTCCAGCAAACTCAATTTTTCTGCAATCCACTCTTTGAAAGCTGATGAAATAAAATGTCAGAATATCTGCAGCATCCTTAATGTACAAAACAATTATTGTTTTCTACATACAGGTAGTCCTTGACTTACAACAACCATTTGTTTAGTGACCATTCAAAGTTACAACGGCAGTGAAAAAGGGACTTACAAACAGTCCCCACAGTTACGACTGCTGCAGCATCCCCATGGGCACGAAATCAAAATTCGGGTATCTGGCAACTGACTCATATTTATGATGGTTGCAGTATCCCGAGGTCATGTGATCCCCTTTTGTGACCTTCTGACAAAGTCAATGGGGAAGCCAGATTCACTTAACAACCGTGTTGCTAATTTAAATGCAGCGATTTACTTAACAACCGTGACAACGAAGGTTATAAAATGGGGTAAATCTTATTTAACAACTTTCTCAGTAAGCAACAAAAATTTTGGGCCCAGTTGTGGTCATAAGTGGAGGACTACCTGTATTCCATGTCAGCATATTCAGTTTTCTCCTGCCTAATAGTCAAGAATTAAAAAGAAAATACTGTTTCAAAGACAGTGCCCGCTATCTACAATTTTTTGCAAACACCTCTAAGTTTTGCAATTAGTTGGGGCCCTACTAATCATAGAACTACATTCCAAAAAGTCATATTTAATTGATTATACTTCAATACGCAAATTAAGCCTGGTATAGTTCTTCCAATCATTTGTGCTGGTTTTTTTCTGAGATTAAAAAGGCCCATCTTGTCTCATGCATGGATGTGTCCAGTCTTATTTTCAGATACATCAAATTTAGAAGATGCATTTTCTAACAGAATAACCAAATAACAAATTTGGAATGGGCCTTGGAGGTCTAGTCTAACCCACTGCTCAAGCAGGAAACTGTGTCAGACAAATGGTTGTCCAATGTCTTCTTAAAAACCTCCAGTATTGGAGCATTCACAACAATACTGGAGGCATGTTTTTCTACTGATTCATTGTTCTCACTGTCAGGAAATTCCTCCTTAGTTCTTTCTCTCCTTGAGTAGTTTCCATCCATTATTTCTTCTCCTGCTTTTAGGTGCTTTGGAGAATAAACTGACCCCTTCTTCTCTATGAAAGCTCCTTAAATATGGGAAGAATGCTATCATGTCACCCCTGCTCCTTCTCTTCATTAAATTAGACAATGCTGGTTCCCACAATCATTCATTGTATGTTTCAGCCTCCAGACCTCTAATCATTTTCATTGTTCTTCTTTGCATACTTTCTAGGGTCTCAACATCTTTTTTGGATTGTGGTGACCAGAACTGGATGCAGTATTCCAAGTGTGATCTTACCAGTGTGGTATAAAGTCACACCGTAGGTTTTAACCTTACTTAAGTGTGGATTCATGCTGAGCTGTGGCCAATGGCTGGACCATCCTCACATCCTAATGGACTTACCATTATGGACGCCACAACTGGACCTTTGATTACCCACCATAAAGCAGTGTTGTCATTCATGTCCCAACAGCTGATGGGAAAAGAAGAAAGGAAATTAAGAGGACCTAGGAATTAAAATTGCCCGCCCCAAAGAAATACAGATAGTCCTTGACTTACAACCATTCATTTCGTGATTGTTCAAAGTTACAATGGCCCTGAAAAAAAGTGATTTATGAGCAGTCCTTGCACTTAGGATGGTTACAGCATCCCCATGGTCAAGAGATCAAAATTTGTGTGCTTGGCAACTGCGTGTATTTGTGATTGTGATTTGTGTGTATTTGTGATTTGTGATGGAGCCTCGGTGGCGCAGTGGTTAGAGTGCAGTACTGCAAGCTACTCTACTCCCACTGCAATTTGGCAGATCGAATCCCACCAGGCTCCAGGTTGACTCAGCCTTCCCTCCTTCCGAGGTGGGTAAAATGAGGACTCAGATTGTTGGGGGCAAGAGGCTGACTCTGAAAACCATTTTGAGAGGGATATAAAGCACTATAAAGCAGTATATAAGTCTTAAGTGCTATTGCTATTGTAACATCCTGGGGTCATGTGATCACCATTTGTGACCTCCCAGCTTCCCACAAACAAAGTCAATGGTGGAAGCCAGATTTGCTTAACAGCCCTGTGATTCATTTAACAACCATGGCAAAAAAGATGGTAAAATCGAATAACATAAAATGACTTAAGAACTGCCTTGCTTAGCAATAGAAATTCTGGTGTTAGTTGTGGCTGTAAGTTGAGGACTACCTGTATTTCTTAAAGGAAACATAACCTTTATTCTTCGAAGGATCACCTGATTCTTGGATACAGTATGAACTAAATTCTAATGCTTTTAATATTAATTAAAACTCAGTTAATTCAAAATATAGATTTTATGGATTCCTTTCCTACTCATCTATTTTATGCATCTGCTTCCTGGCTTCATAAGTCACTTTGAAAAAGCAAAGTAATCACTCAGCAATGGTATCCAGATTACACATTACAGATGGTCCTCAATTTACAACAGGTCGCTTAGCGACTATTCAAAGTTACGTCCTCCCTAAAGCTACCTATCAGCTGGTTTCAAAGTTACAACACCCAGCCTCTATGGTCACAGGATCACATTTTGGATAGTTAGCAATCAGTCCACATTTATGGCTATTTGCAATCATGTGACCTCCATTTATGGCATTTTTTTTTTGCAGAAACCGGTGTTAATTTCAATTTCTAGAAAAAAAAACATTGGGTATAATGGATTCACTTAATGATCATTCCTTTCACTTAATGATTATTCAAAAAACTGTGCTGCTTCATGACTGATGAGTGTTTCCACTTACAACCATAATTCCAAATTCAATTATGTTCATAATTCAAGGACTACCTGTATTCTTTATCTCTCTTTCTTACATACAAAGATACATACACACAGAGACACCATGTTGACTCCACAATGGAGAGATTAACAAAGATACCACAATCATTTGATTAACCAGAGTTGATGGGAATCGTACAATCCTGATGTCCCCAAAGCCTGAAGGACAGTGTGCAAAACTCTGCCAGGGGTGACCCGCAACAATGCCAAGGAAGGGGTGTGCCATGCCACCTACCCAATATCATCGAAGTGAAGCCGAAGGACCGCCCAGACTGTGACACAAATGGTTGGAGTTCCTGGAGGAGGGAAGAAGAAAGTTTGATGGAGCCTGGGACAATTGGAAATTTCCCAATCAAAAATGGAATTTAGGTCGGCATTCACTGGCCTAATAACAATCATGGTTGTTATTATTATTTACATACAGTTGACCAGATAGATTTGACTGGATTTGCTTCTGTGGAGTAAAGGATCTACCATAGCTATAGATAATGTAATGGCTAGCACAGGTAATAGATTTTTAATAACTGCCTTGCTTAGCTATGGAAATTCTGGTCCCAGTTGTGGCCATACATTGAGGACTACCTGTACAATAATGAATGAATCTGCAATCCTCACTCAGTTCTAGCACTGATAATGTAACCTAGTTGGGTCATGAAATATTTGCTCAGAACACCCTGAGGACCCCACAATCCTCCTCTTCTCTCCCTTCTAGCACTGATGATGTTACCTAGTTGGGTCATGAAATGTCTGTAAGAAAACCACCAAGCTCAGAAAGCACCAAGGATCCCTTAATCTTCCTCCTCCTCCTCCTCCTCCTCCTCCTCCTCC